CCTGAAGTCAACTAAAGGGCTAATGATAACCATCAAGACGCCTGCCATTTGTTATAAATAAATAAATAAATAATTGTTTTACTTTGACAAATCTCAAAGACATTTGATGGCAAGCAAAATGACTTACTCTGCTGCCTCCAAGAATTTTTTCATTATTATTGATGACTTGTAAAGCCTTCAAGGCGTCTTTATGTTCTTCAAATGCTACAAATGCGTAACCAAGGGATTTGGGATTTACGGCACCACTCTTTAAGTCACGCATCACACGACACTAAAATTTCAAAAATAGGTTAGTGCATCAGAAACGACGTCCTCGACTTAGATGAAATCTGCTCTGGGACTTTTTATATCAGAACCAATTTGTGCTATATAAACACTGGCCTCAATGCTAAGCATCTCTATCAAATGAAAGAACAAAAAGCACCAATCATTAACTGAAGTCAAAATAAGACTTCATCATTTATATCTGAAGTCTTTTCTACAAAAAAGACACTTGATGAAGTTGAAATCGGTGTTACTAAAATGGCACATTGGTGAATTTAAACGTTAAAGCGAAAGCAACACATTTCATTGAGGTCTAGAAATTGATGCAGAAACGGTACAATGCTACCCCACACGCTGATTTAACCCATTTTGAAAAGAAATTTCAACACTATGCCTGCAATTAAAGTAACTGGAATTAATGCGCCCGCTAACTGCTGGTGACCTACAAATGATTTCAAAGGCATGGAGAAAAAATACTAGACCTTTTTGAGATAACACTGATATAAAATCATATCTACTTTAACATTCAATAGAAGGAGATTGGCAAGGAAACCTCCATGGAGAAAAAGGGTTGAAATGCAGTCAATCAAGAAAATAGCATCGAGGAAGAGCTTAGGAACTGCACGTTGTAGGATTACTTCGCAAGAACATAGAAGAGGATCTTGGGCTCAGTGCAATAACTGAAAAAAGATTTGGGCGCAAGAGACTTGGTAGCTCAATAGAAAAGTAACCTACAACACTGAACTACTAATAAAACTAGAGATGTTAATACTTGATAAAATGCAATTACTCAATCGAAAGAGAGAAATACCAAGTACCAATATATTAGGTTGGAAAACAGACCAATCGAATAAGAGTGATTGAGGTCAGGGAGGGTGCATGACATTGCGTTTTGGACACTGGTTAATCTTATCAACAGATATATAATTGAAAGACCTACAAGGTAGCTTAGCAGTGCTATTCTGATTATTTCAATAAAAACAGATCTTAATCTGCTCATAAAATAGCAGTACAACATTGACCATTTACCTCTGTTATTCGAGCATCTTTTCCGCTGACTTTCTGACAAGCGGCACGGAGTTGTCGATCATCAATTGAGAGAGGAATATTACGAAGACATAGACGAAGAGGACTGATAAAGATATTGGGATCTCGAAGTTTAGACTGCTTTGAACGAGCTAGGGCTTCTCGCATTGCCATTTCTTGAGCAGTCAACATTTCAGCTGCCTTGGTATCCGGCTTAATCACTAGAAAAACACAAAAAATCAACGACTGATTTCGAAAGATAAAATTAATTTTCGAAAACTAAGGGAATAATTTACATCCGATGCGAGCAAGATGGAGGTTTCGACCAGCTAATCCTGAAGTAGTCGATTCATCTTCACCACGTCTTGTCATCTGCAATTTAGCAACTTCCTCCTTGCTTACAGCTAGAGACAAATCCAAATTTCGACCTCCAAACATAAATTCCGACCCACCCTTTTAGAGACACATTAGAAAGCGATAAAAAGAAATATCGAAGAAGCCACAAGAACAAAACTTACAAATGACTTAGAGAATTTTATCAAGACGTTATCTGCGTCCTCTTTTAAAACAAATTTAGCGAAAGCTGTACCACGAGAATGATTTGTCATTTTGTCCTTGACAATTTTAACGAATTCTAATTCGCCAAATGTGGCTAGAAATTGATAAAGACTTTGTTCATCGGCATCAAAAGGCACATTTCTGATAAACAAGGTACGACCCTCAGATGTATCAGAACATTGACCCTTTCGAGGTAATGCCGATTCAAGTTGCGTAGAGAAAACTTCCTCTGAAATCTCCTTAGACGTGGATTCTAATTTAATTGGCTTTGTTGGACACTTAGATATAAAAAACTCTCCTTCCTGTTGCTTCATTTTCTCCGTGGAACCCATTGCTTTTGCAGACCTCTCTGAACGCTTGAACCTCATACTTTCACGAGTTGAATCAATCAGAATAGCCGCCTGCACAACAATCGATAAAAAGTAAATTAATTATCTTCAACTTTCTTGCGATATATATATTTAGCATTATATATCTTAAATATTACATTAAATTGAACTTAATTATAAACGATTTTGACACTGTTTGTCAAATGGTAAAATCATAGATTTTAGACTCTCTAAAATTCCTATTATTTTTAGAAAAAATAATCTAGCTAAAATTTAATTTCAATTGCCATCAGATGTCATATTTGAATTAGGTAGTAAATAAAAACATATATCAGCAAACAAAATTCCTTACGAAATAATTTATGAGCGATTACATTATAAACGTGTGTAGCGAAACCCACACTGATTGTAATCAAAATATTGTGGAATTGGTTTAACATAGTGTATAAGTCAACCAAATGCATCGGGATCTATTTTTCCAAAAAATCCAAAAATAATAATAAGTTTAGTTATTATTCGGATTTATCCCATTCTGGTAACTAATACATTCTAGAAGTGATTATTGTTTTTCCCACTTTGCGCTATCTCCTGTACGCATAAAATAACTTAAATAATTCAATTTTTGATATAATTATTTTATTCCGAGTTTGGCAAGAGATAGCTATTGGCCAAATCTTTACCAATGATCTCTAAATTTTCAACTTTTTCGTCACTCTTAATGTCAACAAGCGAATCGCAACCAAATGCGAAAATTTCCGTCGGTTTCAAATTGATTTATCCATCTTAATGATATATGTTGTTCCAATTTTCATACAAAGCAGGAACACGAAAAATACTAGCCTGTTCTTGTGGTTTTAGTTGACTACAGGTTATGGTAAAATGACAATGAACATTTCCTTTAATTTGGCCTTATTCTCTATGCAGTGATTCATATATGTTCGAACGGTAATCCTTCTTTATGTATTAATAATTGTTGGCCTGCTTGTCTCATTTTCATTTCTACAAATCCAAAATTCTTCATTAGTAATCTTATCGATTATTTAGAAGGTTATTTTTATTATTAAGATTTTCTCTGTCGGTATTTATAATATGAAGTAATTACTTATATTTTGTAATCTCATTACTGTCTTAGTAATAACACTACTTTTATAAGAATTGGAATCTAAAATCAACTAGTTCATTATATCAGCAATGCTATTTAAAATTTAACTTAACAAGAAGCGGCAGCTCTATGTTGCATTGTAAAATTTATTTTGATATTTATATTGTTTAATTTTACAAACATTGTCATTTAATCTTGGTTAAGCTGACCTACGTTTACTGCATCTTTTTGAATCAAGTTTGTTGCTTTTAAGTATTGTGTACGCTTTAAGATGTCATGCATTTCTTCTATCGATTAAACCTTGTCTCAATTATAATAAAAAAGAGCCTTCAGCATTTTCCATACTTTTTAGATTTTAAGATGTCTTCTGGAATAATTGCTCGGGGTGATCCCAATGTCGACAATGGTTTTAAAGTTGTGTTCGTCCTCGGCCCACCTGGTAGTGGGAAAGGAACTATTTGTAAAATTATGTCCCCTGTAAGTAGTTTTCTTATTGTGACAGCTATCTTGCTTTGATGTAGTTTTTATTATTATTTTATTTCAGCGCTATGTATTCAAACACCTCTCAGCCGGTGATCTTTTACGTAAAGAAATGAGTCGAGCAGAGTCAAAATTAAGTGAGCAAATTAAAAGGCATATGGAAGAGGGCTCAATGGTGCCTGTTGAAATAACGTGCAGACTTCTCTCAGATGTTAGCTGAGTGTTATATATTTGCTTAATAATATTTGAGTTTTTTTCATATCTACAACTGCACTATCTTTACAGTCTCTTTTTTGTGATTTCTCTTCAGGCAATGGAAGAAACCATGAATACTGACGGCAACAATCGCTTTCTTGTGGACGGTTTCCCCCGTAACGAGGATAATAAGACAGGTTGGGAAAAGTTTATGGGTCACGTTGAAGTGTGCAAAGTAATTGCTGTTGATTGTCCAGATGATGTAAGTATAAAGTTCTATCATATTTCATCGTCATGTTATTCATAGTTAGCTATGTACTTATGAATAGCAGCTTGGTTTTTTTAGTAGTAAGTTCCATCGGTGCGTCGTGTTTACTTAGATTTTTGTTGAAATTCTTTGTTGACCATTTAATCTCTTTAATGATTTCGTTAATATGTTTTCTCTTCAGTTCTCGCTTTCAGCACTTGTTATTTAGTTCTGATTGTCACTTTCAGACTACAATTATTTTATGTGCCTCTGATGTCAGAATACATATTTACTCGTGCCATCATCAATCGATTTTACTGATTCAACATTTAATCATTTGTATATATTGACTACTTCTTTAGGCTATGAAATCTAGCCGTATTTATCATTAGCAAGTTATCCCTCGAAAATCGGTGAAGGTTTGATATATCTTTATTTTTTGGGTACAGCCTTTAACTGCACTTTTGAGAAGGGAGTTTGTACCTAGACCTCCTTTGCATTGGTTTTTTCTCTAATTTTGCAAATAATTAGGCTTTTTAAGTTGGTAGAATCGGAAATCGTGATGCTACTTGCATACGATGTAATTTTTTGTTGAAATCTTCTATGCTTTCTGAGTATATACATCGAGGTTTCATTGGGGTTATGCCAGTAAAACTGCCCTATCTTTTTCATAATAGATTCCACTTTTAATTTTTATCGCTCTGTCAGTGGTAATCAATTTAGTGATCTCCGTTGCTTCTGATTACCTCGTGATCGATATTCGCAGGAATTTCGGATTTACTCTTTTATCCTGCTCTTCGGTGGTCAATTTCGGTTATAAATCCCAAAATGTTTACTAACTACTACTAGTGTGGGGAGAAGAGAAGACAAAAGGCCTATTCCAAGAATATCTGTGCTGAAAAATGATGAGTGGAAGTATTGGGAAGTAGAACTGTAAACATTTCTGATAAAATTCAGATTCGTTAATTCTAATTGGTTTATCATTATTCGGGGGGTGTGCGATAGACTTACCTCCACTTGGTGCACCCTGGGCAACGTATACTCATACGGCAAAAAAGTCTATTAACTGGGAGTTGACCTCTGACTTCAAATTGTCATGACCCTACTGTATGTCATATTCGACCCCTTCCGCAGTACTCACCTCACCTTTCTTCTACCTTTTCTACCTTCGTCTTCCCCCCCCCTTCCTCCTCTCGACTTTCTTTCACTTTGATGTTCCTCCCCCTCTGTGAAGCCAGAAGTCAAAGCGCCTGCCATTTGATAAAAATAAATAAATTTTGTTAAAAGAATAAGGCTTTGACATCTATCATTATGGCAACTTCCACAGGCATTTTTACTCCTTTATTGGAGTTCTGACAGCTTTTCCCACTAGTTCAAATCGAGAATACATTGCAATTTATCCTCCCTTCAGACAAAATTCTGATGAGCAGTTCAGTTACCTCCAGGTCAATGAATCATCCAAGGCTCTAACTTTGATAGTAATTTCATTATCTGAATTTAAATATTTTGGAATATCAGTTTAAAATCAATCATATGATATGCAGAATGTTTCGCTCTGTTTTGCGTGCAGTCACGGTAAAGGATGTATTTTTGTCAATTGTTTAACATTATTTATGAGCAATTAACTTCGCTTTAGTGGTGAGAGTAAGAATTCTCAACCCTAAAGCAGACTGTAAACACGCCAAACATTGCATACGGCTTTTTCTTCATCAGAACTTAAACGCCGCCAAGACAGACAA